GAAGAAACATAACTTTTCCTTAAGATGTGAGACTACCAAGCACAACAAATTTGACGGCTGATAATCTGAGATTTGCCCGTGTAAACGGGGTGGTTCAAAAACGAGCTTTGAATGGGCCTGAGCACACTAGCCTGCTCAGTCGGACTTAGCAGTCCACCACTCGAACGCACACTGTCTGCACATGTTGTCTGTGTGTGCGTGTCAGTCCACCGTCAATCTGCGATTTTCGCGGATTGAAATGAGCGAGGTAAACTCGAACTCTCTTCCTCCTCTTATCCACACAAAAGCGGTTTTAGGCGGACTGAGCAGCCCAGTGTGCGGAGTCCCATTGAGATAGTACTTATTGGCAGCATGAACGAAAGACACAAGATCACGCGGGACGGAAAGAACGAAAAAAGTTATTTTCTAGCTGCCGAAATCTCGATGCCATCTTTGCTGTAAGAAGTAAACAACGAAGAGAACGGAGAAAACCGCGAAATTGTTGAACGCATGAAAAATCATTTTTATTATGCAAATTCTTCTAAAAATCATGCCGTTGTGTTAAATTATTCTTTATCTTATGTGTACACACGTTGTCACAAGCGAAAATGAAGAAAATTGCAGTAAAAAGCCACCACCAAATTGTAAACAACGAAGAAATGTAAATAAACGGCTAATGTCAAAATCGTTCAACTTTTTTCCTTAATGCGATTCTAACGGGCTAGTCTCCTGCCCGCGTGATCTTGTCTTTTTGGTTCATGTATTGGCAGAGAACGTAAAGTAAATTTACGTTGTTATTGGTCTTGCATTACACCCGGTTAACATGATTCAGGAACTTGAAAGAAATTCTCGCCCATTATCTTTTGTTTTCTATTTGCTTTTACACGCTTCAATTCTGCTGAACATGTTTTTGGTCCAAGGCCAATTTATACAAGGTGGCGTTGGCAGAACAAAAATTACAATAACAAATTATTTGCACATTGACAATCAGTACAAAACAAAATTACAACAAACACATCATTTTGACAAAACGTAAAAATTCGACGTGAAATCAGCGAATCCCGTAACACTACCTTGCATATATTCGCCTTGTTTTGGTCGTTTAAATGGAAAACAACGAAAATGTCAAAAACAAAGCAAGAAAGTTGAAACGACTTGATGATACAGACGCATGTGCACTCGTCCCTTTTCTTCTCACCCCCTTTCTGTACATGCGAGCAGAATTGATTTCAATACTTGAACTGTGTAAAAGCAGTCTCACAGCTGACGTTATCGATAGTCTTAAAACAACCCTAGTATTTTTTTAAAACAGAAACTATTGATATATCGATAGTATTGTCGATATTTCCATCTCTACTTTTCATGCTAGCAACGTTTTGCAAGATTTATTTAAGTTTTTATTAAATCGGTACAAATTATTAATAAAAATGGATGTTCGGCCAAATCAAACCATTTACATTAATAATCTTAACGAAAAGATTAAGAAGGAAGAGCTCAAAAAGTCCTTATATGCGATTTTCTCTCAATTCGGACAGATTCTCGATATTGTGGCGCTAAAAACGCTTAAAATGCGGGGCCAAGCGTTTGTGATTTTCAAGGAAATTGGAAGTGCTTCGAATGCGCTGCGTACTATGCAGGGATTTCCATTCTATGATAAACCAATGCGCATCGCTTATTCTAAGACAGATAGTGATATAGTGGCCAAGATAAAGGGTACATTTAAGGAGCGTCCGAAAAAGGTTAAGCCACCGAAGCCGGTACAAGCCACTGAGGATAAGAAGTACATAAACACGATTTTAATGCTAAATTATATAATATTACACATTTTTATGTATTATTTTGTTGCAGGGATAAGAAGAAGAAGGCGTCTAATGCTGAGAACACTAATCCTAACACACAAACTGAGCAACCACCAAATCAAATTCTTTTCCTCACCAACTTGCCGGAAGAAACAAATGAGATGATGCTTTCTATGCTGTTCAATCAATTCCCAGGTTTCAAGGAAGTGCGTTTAGTGCCGAACCGGCACGATATTGCTTTTGTAGAATTCGCCACTGAATTACAGAGTAATGCTGCGAAGGAAGCACTACAGGGCTTCAAGATAACACCGTCACACGCTATGAAAATCACTTTTGCCAAAAAGTGAGAAGTTCTTCACATTACTAAAGTGTTTGGAGGTATCTACACGATCTACATATATATTTAAATTTAACGTAGCACTAGCTTTTTTAATTTATGTGCCCTTACACGGAGTGCTCTAGCATATGTATTTTCTCTCCTGATGTCCACAACACATTTACGATTCAACAACATAAAATTACGTTTATTTTATCATGTAAGACCTTTTTAACCCGTGTGTAAATATCATTCAGCACAATACCGAGTGAGGGCTAATATTCGGCTTGGTCAAAGCTAACATTCTCACATTGTTTTTCTCTAAAACAATGTACCTTCTAATGTACAATATTTCATATGGAAATAAAGTGCATGCCATATTTGGCAGAGAAAAAAGTAATTGAATATCTTTAATAATTGAAGCGTTTGAAGCATTTAATATGATAGCATGGTTTACTGATTTCAATGAAACAAGTCTTTTGTTATGGCTGCTTAGTCAAGAGCTGGGTGGTCCTCTTCCACTGCCTGCTCGGCTTCAGCAATCTCTGGCATATTTTCTACAGGTACAGGCTCGCCTACGTATTTTTCCATGTTTTTAACAAGTTTCTCGGAGTTCCCGCCTACAAAAACGTCAATTATATGTTTGCCCTTGATAAAGACGAAAGTCGGCATGCTGGTAACATTGTATTCGAGCGCAATTTCTTCGCAATCGTCCACGTTGACTTTCAATACAACTGCTTTATCGGAATAATGTGCTGCTAACTCTTCCAATTTTGGGCTAATAATCTTACAGGGCCCACACCAATTTGCAAAAAAGTCAATGACCACCAGCAGGCCGGAAGCATTGGCTTCTTCTATTTTCTCATCTAGATCCTCTTTATTTTGAATTATGTATACCATGATATTGCGGATTACAACAGAAAAATGATGAAATTGATTAGCTTTTTTATATTATTGTTTTTTTGAACACGAATGTCTAATTTTGAATATTTTCTTTTATTTCTTTAACAGTAAAATCACAACCGTTTGACTGCGAATTGAAACGGGAAATTTTTTTTTTCTGCAAAGTGTTGTAATCACAGTTTTACTACATGATCATGATTTTACTATATCGAAATAATCTCATAAGCAGATATGTAAATAAATATTAATTTTATCGACCTAGATTCCTGGCTCCGCTGTAAGGCTATTTGTCTCTTCTATGCCGTTCGTCGGCTCTCCAACATACTTTTTAATAGTGTTAATTAGTTTTTCTTCATTACTCCCAGCAAATTTTTCCAATATTTGGTTTTCTTTCATCAATAAAAACGATGGCATCATACTGACGTCATTATCAATCGCTATTTGCTCGCAGTCGTCAACATCAACTTTTGCAATGATCAATTTGCCATTATACGTAGTTGCTAGTTCTTCAAGTTTTCTATTTATTAACATACAAGCTCCGCACCAAGGTGCAAAAAATTCGACCAATAGATGTTTTCGTCCAACTTCGTTTAATAGTTGGGCATAGGTGGCGCATTCTGATATGATTATTAACTTATTTACTCCGTCGATAAAAATTGGCGGTGGAGGTATTGGAGGTGGTGAGGTTTTTTGAGAAGATGCTGAAGCAGGTCCTACTTGCGTGGCGGGTACTGGTGGAGATGATGCTGCTGCGCTTGGCGCAGTGCCACCTGTTGTCGCTGGTGCAGGGACAATTTGAGGGGGTGAAGCTGTTGGTGGTGCACTCTGAACTGTTGCCGCGGGTGGGAGAACTCTTGTTGAGTTACGGTTTGGCCCTGCAACCCGAGGTGGTGCTGCTGAAGCTGGTACGGGGGTACTTTGAGAGGGAGAAGCCGTTGCTTGTACATTTTGAACTGGTGCTGCAGAAGAGCGAGTTATTGCAGCGTTTGCATTTGGTGGCGCAGGCCGAGAAGACATGCTATTCAAACGTAAATTTTTAATAAAAATCACATACAAAATTTTGGTTTTTGAATTTGACTAAAATAAATGTTTTCAAATAATAATGATCGTGATCTCTATAGATACAGTGCCGGTCATAAGTATTGTCACATGGAATTTTTCGCAATGCATGCAAAGTTTTTTATTCGAATTTCTAACTTTGAATACTTTGCGAAAAATTCTCTGTCCCAATACTTTTATTCGGCTCTTGTACATATACAGTATCGGTCATATCTATAGCACGCCATTTCAAAGTTATATTGTGTGCAACTTATGTTTATTTATTTATTTTTCAGAATTTTCAATTAAAATTTAGTTCTTTCTCTAACAAACCCCATATAAACCCAAGTTTAACAATTTGTAGAAAACTTCAAAAAAGTGCAACAAATTTTCACCTAAATTTCAAACTTTTTTCTCGGAAGTGTTTGAATTTTTTTGAATACACAGTTTTATAGCCCTATCAATTTTAGTCTGATAATGTGCAAGTTTCAAGTGACTAAAAGATACCGTTGATTTTTTAGAATTTTTTTCGCCAAAGGTGTTGCGGTTTTCATCCATATACAAATAAATTGAGTTTATCCATTATATGAAAGCCAATGCGACAAAAAAAAATCTAAAAAATTAACGGTAATTCGTAGCCACTTGAAATTCGTATTTTACTACCTCTAGGGACATTTAAGGAATATTTTTGTTGTTATAGAAAGATAACTCATACTGGTTACGAGTCACAATAAACAATGATCATTAAAACCAGTCTTCTAAAAACACACTTCTGAAATAATAACAGTTACCAGACTATTTGTTTTTATTCTTTGAGCGAAAATGTTGTTTTTATGTATACAAATCTTGAAGGCGGCTATTTGTCAATTTTCGTTATGTATGTATGTAAATATTAATACATAGGATACTAATACATTTGTTTATACATATACCTATGTATAACGAAATGAATACCCGTTAAATCCGCAAAAACAGTAGTCTAATAGGCGGATGGTGGAGTCCAGCAGCTTATGCAGTTGCGAATTGATTATATAGAAATCAATTTGTGTGAAGCTCGCAAAGCATTAAGACGTCCCAAGTGGATCGCTAAGAGACTGGTATTTATTTCACTATAACTCAGAGTGTCTTGTACAAGTTTTCTTTCCAACTTAAATTCTATTTAAAAAAAAACACGCGACTTTTTTTTTAAATCAAAATGATGCACACTGTCCGAAGCAATGCTGATTTCGACAGACAATTGTCGGCCGCTGGCGGTCGTTTGGTGGTCGTCGACTTTACAGCCAGTTGGTGTGGTCCTTGCAAATGCATTGAACCTAAGGTTAGAGCGCTTTCGAAAAAGTATAAGGACCGCGCTGTCGTACTAAAAGTGGACGTGGACAAGTGCAGTAATGTAGCACATGATTACAGAGTTTCCTGCATGCCGACATTTGTATTCATAAGAAACGGTCGTAAGATAGATCGTCTTTCAGGAGCTGATGAAAGGGAGTTGGAGTATAAAATGTCGAAAATGGCAAGAGCTAAGTGAGCAAGAGAATTTAAGCGTTAAGAAAATGATTAAATTTTGTATTCTGATTGTTTTGTGATTATAATTGTGAAAATTAATGTTTTTTGTATTGTACTGAAGTTGATGAACGTTATTGTAATCTTTTAAAATTTGTAAAATGCATCTGGTATGACATTCAATTTTTTTATTAATATTGTACAACTATAAAGTTAAAAATCTTACGATTAACTGAGAATAAAAAGGACATTGAGCTATCTAATTTAGGTATTTTTTTTTATTTTGGCCATCAGACGTCCAGATCTGTAGAATGTTATTTAAAGGTTTGTAAGTTCATACATAATTCCTACACTACATTTTTAATAATCAAGATTTTGAACTTCAGTCGAGAAATGGCTTCTCGACTGCGCGCTGAATTCAAATAGGAAAATTAACAGTTGACTAAATAAAAAAATGCTAAAATTAACCTGGCGTTTAAAGGACTTCCATCGTAATATAGAAAGAAGAAGCCCTTTAATTGATGACAGTCCATTTAAAAAAGAAAGGAGAAACGAATGTAGAGTGGAAGGCTTTTTACTCCTGAAATTATCAACTGGGTTATAAAATGTTGTATATTTAATACAGCCATGCACGACGAACATTTTGGCGAGCACGTTCTCGACTCGCATTCAGTGATCGGACTTTTACCACATTGTGGTAGATCTGCCACTTTTTTGAGCATCTACCACATCTACCATACAAGGTCTGAAATCTACCACATATTCGCGTTTTTGAGTATTTTTATTTTTGCTCGACGTAATATTATTGGCCCGTAGTCATAGTCAAAATAAAGTCGACTTTAAAGTTAGTTGCAGCTTTTTGACATAATTTTCAATGGGATATCTGTCAAAAAAGCTGCAACTAACTTTAAAGTCGACTTTATTTTGACTATGACTACGGGCCATTAATTTTAAGAGCAAAAATTGTCCAACACTAAACACCAATAACAGGCAGAATGGGAGGATAAAATAAACTAATATTATGTTCAAATTGGCCCCTTTTAACTTGTTAAATGAAAAAGAGCTTTTTGGAAAACACAATCGTCCACATTGAACATTTGGAGTTAACTTTGACGGTTGTTTGATTACCAATAAAAATTCGAAAAAAAATATTCAAAATCAGGTTTTTGTGTTTCAATTTGTTTTGTGCGAATGTCTGCTTCATGATATTAATGCATACGGATTACTTAGAGACTTCAAAATGTTTAGCTCGCATGCACTATTTATCTCTGCGTACGATGAGACCTCATGGGAAGATAACTAATTACCGCCTGGGCCTCTTTTTTGGCGGGCGGGCATGCATACAATTTTGATATTTTTTTAATTTTAATTTTTAATATTTTTCAGAATATAAATTTTTTGAACGTTGGCGTGTCAAATGAAAGCTTTTGGGTCTTTCTGATTGGCCGGAGCAGAAAGCTTTCCGACACAACTCTGCGTTGAACTGGTTTTCAAACGAGTTAAATGATTTTACTGGTTCAACTTTCCAAAAACAATTGCATGCGATTTAACTTGTTTATGAACATGTTTTGTTCATTTAACTGGTTCAAGCCATTTAGGGCCGGTTGTTCAATGTCTGGTTATCCCCACTTCCGGCTAAACATCATTGTCGACGTTTTCGAAATCACGCATATAACATGTGATCGATAAAGCAGTCGTTGTATTTAACCGGAGCTTCTACCTCCGATTTGTGCTAATCAGACATTGAACAACCGGCCCTTAACATGTTTAGCTCGTCAATTTGAACGTAGTATAAAATAATAAATTTTCTCAATATTCAATTTTTCGACAGGGAAACTGTGGTTTTATTGTGTTAAATTGCAAAATATATGATTTATGAAAAGAGATTAAAGCGAAAATGTTAAAAAACGGCGATTTTTGTGAAAGTATTAGCAAATTTATTTCTAGATTAAATAAATAAATAAACAAATTTCAGTGCATCTAAAGTTTCTAAGCGTTGTTGTACTTTTACTTGAGAATTGTCAAAATCGGCAAATCGCAAGTAAGCGGTTTCTGAAACGTACCACATTTATTCGCTACATCGTGATGTGCATAAAAAGAAAAGCTGGCAGCACTCCGCAAGTGTTGCAGAAATCTTTCAAAATATGTTGAAATGGTATGGAAGGAACTGCATTTACACGTTCAAGGAAAAAAATTGCCACAACTCAACGCAATTTTTACCAACTTCAATCTTGCACTTTATATACTAACATTAATTTTTTTTTTAGATTCTATTGAAAATGTTTGCAATTTAGGTGAAACCTTCAAAGAATTTTTTTAATTTTTGTACAAAGTTTGATCCAAAACCTGACATCTCACACATTTCTTTGAAATCTACCAGATTTTTTTCCAGATTCTACCACCCCTTTTCTTTTAAATCCGATCACTGCTCACATTCGTCTTTTTAATTTTTTTATGTAGTCCCGCAAATCCCGCGGATCCCGCAAGTGTAATCCCTCATTTCTGACACGCAAAAATGGCGCGAGATTCCGCGTTTGCGGGATTGGATTTCCTAGTCGTAAGATAGAATCAGTTTATAGTTCCAGCCATCTTTGGGCTATTATATAACTGTTTAATAAAAAAAAAAAACTCGAAACAATTCAAATTTGTTTGAAAGGAGCGTACACCATTTGGGGTCGGGTCTTAAGCCTATGTGATTATAATGTCGAATTTCCTATAATAACCCATGGTAAAATTAAAAATAATAATGTAATATAATGGTATAATATATTAAATTAATTATGAGCTAATTCGTGCAATAAAATAGTAATGAGTATATATCTAATATTGATTATGAGCAGTATTCAATTGTGCATACAAAGCGTGATATTTGCAATTATCGAATGCGCAATTAATATTTGTGGTGACGCTGCGCTCGTTCAACATTTGTGGCACTGTGCTTTTCTAAATCATCTTATCTGTAAAACCACTGAAAAGTTTGTATCCTAAGTTCCACAAAATTAGCACCACTGCCGTTGCTTTGTGAATGCCTAATAAGAGGTTAAAGAAGAAGAATACGAAAAGTTTGTCTAGTTTTGTGTTGATTTCAGATAAAAATTAGAAAAGCATTTGCAAAAACCCATCAATACTGAGAAAAATGAGTTTAGCTGGTGAAAATACTCAAACAGAGACTAAGGAAAACATAACCGAATTAGAGGAAATCGATGAAGCCGAAGTAACTACTAAAACTGGGATATGGCATTTTTCAGATTTGCTGCACAAACAAAATTGTTTTAACACATTTCAGGAGGAGGCTTTATTGAAATCGACGATGAGTATGACACGGTGCGTACAAAAATTCCTCCTGTCTGAATACTTTGGCCCACCACCAGCCGTACTCACAGATGAGGATTCACTTATGAATGAAGCAGCACAGCTGCAAGACGATGAGATGGGAGCTGATGAAGCCGGCTTAAGTGACGAGGATGAGCAGTTGACCGAGCCAAAGGAAGTATTGTACTCCCACATTAACGACGATGATAGCGACGACAATGAAGACGATGAGTTGGACGAAACGGAAAGAGCAATTGTGGAATATAAAAAGTTGCTAAAAGAATTGGATGTAAATCAGTATGCTTACGATAAATATTTACAACTCTGCAGTATAGCACAGTGAGTTAATTAATGAGTTGGTGTACATATTATAATTTACTATTGCTTGCTAACATTTGCAGTACAACAGATGACTTGGACATAATACGAGAGGCATATAGTCGCTTTTCTTCTGTATATCCCTTGTCACAAGATTTGTGGCTTAAATATTTAAGCATTGAAATGAATGTGGCTCTATCACCCAAAGAAATTGAATTTGTGGAGAGTCTATTTCGAAAAGCTTTATCTGACTATTACTGTACGTAACACATGGGACATTTTATAGCACAAATCTAAGATTATTTCACATTGCAGCAACTGCCATAGCAGTAAAGTTTGCGTCGTTAGCTTCGCGGTGCGCAGATCGAGACGTGGTGTGGCGAGAGCTGTTGGGTACCTATGGACTGCACTGCCTTGAGGTCAACAATTTTTTAGGCTATATCGGCAGTATCTCGCAAGCAATTCTTCTATGAGGTATGAATTGTTTTAAATTGTTATAAGCAAATAAGTAATGATATAATAATATTAATTAAGTTCGGAAGCAAAGCAAGAAGGGTACATAAAAAGTTATATACAAGAATTTCGTATCCCCTCTTTAATATGGAAGAGAGCTATATCGAGTTTAAAGTATTTTTGAACGAAATAAGGAGCTATTCGGCAATGGAGTAAGTTGGGACTCGATTGACAAAACTTATTTCAAAGCCAAAGATCACTTGCAAAAAATTTTGCAATTTGAAACGAAACTCAAGGATTTAGACGCCAAATGTTACAGGGAGCGTGCTGAGGTCTATATAAACTACATCAAGGAGTCGGACAAATTCCTTGACGAAAATGTTTTGCAAACAGTTTATGAACGTATGGTGGCCGACTGCTGCTTAAATATCGATTGTTGGTTAACCTATATTGACTTTATTGCATATCGCGATGCATTCGGGCGCCCGGAAGAAATGCAAGATTTACCCGTCTACCGTCAAACAGCAGTGGATGTTAATAAACGTGCGCTGCGTAACTGCACATGGTCAGAAAAGCTATATGTAAAGCATATGTTACTGCTGGAACAGTTGGGTAAGTCGCGTGAGGAAGTACAAGAAGTCTTGGAGAGTTCGATGTCAGCTGGTTTCCAAACCGCTGAGCAGGCTGTGGCAGTTTGGATGGAGTATTTGACATATTTGCGAAGACATACAAATTATGAAAATGAGGAGGAGGTAGATAATTTTCGCCATGCCAGTTCGAATTTATATTATTTATTAATTTGAGACATTTCAGTGTGATATTCTGCGAAAAAATTTTAATTTAGCTTGGACCATACTCGGACAACAGTGGGGTGTGTTAGCCGATTGCAATTGTGAGATACTCTTGCTTTGGGGCCGTCTAGAATATGGACCACTTCGCGATGCCAAACGCGGACGAGAACTTTGGACGACTGCTATGGGTAAGTTTAAATGTTTGAAATTAGCTTACTAAACTATTTTGAGTATAAGTTACTCATACCCTCAAAACTATTAGTAACTAAGCTAATTAGCCTTTTTATTTATACATTTAGAAAGTGCCGATAATGCAACTCGTTCTGGCCTATGGATTGAATTTGCGCAATTAGAGCTGCTGGGTCGAGATTTGGAAGCAACAAGAAAGTAAGTCGCATAATAACTAAAACTTTTTTATTTTAGGATTTCCCTTAAATTTTAACTATACTCTCAGATTGTACCGTAAAGCTCTGCATTCACCAGCGCTAGATAATCCATCAGTAATAGCTGCAGCTTGGGAGCGTTTCGAACGCTGTAATGGCACAACGAAAACNGATTGAATTTGCGCAATTAGAGCTGCTGGGTCGAGATTTGGAAGCAACAAGAAAGTAAGTCGCATAATAACTAAAACTTTTTTTATTTTAGGATTTCCCTTAAATTTTTTAAGATTGTACCGCAAAGCTCTGCATTCACCAGCGCTAGATAATCCATCAGTAATAGCTGCAGCTTGGGAGCGTTTCGAACGCTGTAATGGCACAACGAAAAGTCTTAGTAATTGTAAAAAAGAATGTGTCGATTTCTTAACTCAGTATCGCACACAAATGAATCAATTTAAGTCAGATTCAGTGACAAGTGTTAAAGGTAATAAAGGTACAAAACGCAAATCAGCAGCTTCCATCGAGCCTCCTGTACCGGATAAGAAAACTAAATCGCAAACAACAGAGAAAGATATGCAACCAAGTGGAAGTGGAGGAGGCGGTGGGAGCGGAGATGGGCCGGGGTCAAAACGCCTTGAATCCACCACATTTAAAGAACATGAAAACCAAGCAATAGATTTGGCTAAAGATCATTTACGAATATTTCTTAGTAATTTGGATTACAGGTAAAGTATTTGAATACTAAAAACAGCTCGCGCATTTTAAACGTTTCTGTTTAAGCTTGACTGAAGAAGATATTCGTTCCAATTTGGGAGATTTAAAAATTGTTAACGTCACACTCATACGCTCTGGGAACGGCAAAAGCCGCGGTTTTGGTTATGCAGAGTTAGAGAGCGAGGTTTTTGAAAGCTTTCTTTTTAAGCCTTTTTATTGATTTTATATAATCTGTTTTGTTTCAGCTTGAAGTTGAGAAGGCTTTAGCGCTGGATAGAATTTCTTTGAAAGGTCGACCGTTGTATGTATCCAGCGTACTTCGGGACAAAGAAAAACGTCAAAAATTTAAATACTCAGGTGAAACTTTTACCTTGGAACATAGTGAAATAATATTATATTATATAATTATATTATTTCACTATGTCTTGGCCTTCTGAACCTCATAGTGAATATATGTGTGTATATACTTACAATTCCATTTTTTATACAGACGACTTGGAACCTAAGAAACTGTTCGTGAAAAGTCTGCCGCCTGACACTAAAAAAGAAGAACTCGAACAAATATTTGGTGCATTTGGAAAGCTGCAAGACGTTCGCTTAGTACATCACAAGTAAAGAAACACCAAACCATATTATTTAAATATAAATATACTGTAATCAATCTTATAGGAGTGGCAAGTTTAAGAATATTGCATATGTAGAGTTCCAAGATGAGACGGCAGCTGGGAAAGCAGTGCTTGGTACTGATAACCTTGAACTGCGCGGCCACACAGTATGGGATTTAATAGCAGATCACTTTAGGACTTCAAAATTAATTAATTAAAATTTTTTTATTTAGATTTCAGTTGCTATTTCTGCGCCCCCACCGAAACCCGCTTCTTCAACGACAAATGCAAATAAACTTCTTGCCATGAGTAATAAGCGCAGTAAGGCCTTCGAACAGAAGCCACGTATGTCACTCATACCAACAGTAGTGCGCAAGCAACTTACCAGTCGTAAAATCTCAAGTACAGTAAATAACAAAACTACTAATGGAGCTGCTCCCTCAAAAACCAATGATGATTTTCGCAAGCTATTGCAAAAATGAAGAATTATGAAGATATGTAATTGTAATCGCAAACTATACTCGTCCGTGAAGTGTTTGAAACATTATGATGGGGTAAGTCCGCGACTCATACCATACCAGTAGCACCTGTCTCGCACAGTGAATTTTAGTGGTTAGAATTTAAATGTTTAACAGCAAAATACAATATAATGTATTTAACTTGATTTCATTTGTGTCCTTCCTCCTAAAATAAAAAATCATTAATATATTTTTTGTATCAATCATTTGTTTTGTTTTAAAAACCATATAAAATACACAAGTATTTATAAATAGATATGCATACATGAATAAATTCAAACTTTTCATACTTTGAATTTGACACCTTTGCTGACTGCCGCTTTGATACCGGATATTTCGCCGCCATAACGTTTTGTTTCTTTGCGCACGGTTCGTACAGCGCCCTTGCGCCGGACCAATGCCTTGCGGAACTTGTTGCGGTGCTTGACGCGTGGATTTCGCGATTCCTTCTTGCGCGCAGGTGTAAGACCCTTGTTTTTGGCCATTTGATAGGTAATTCCGCGACGCGTGTCTTCATCTTCCTCCAGTTCACCATCGGAAGCATCGATTTCGTTCACTTTACCATCCTCGGCGCCGTCATTTGCTATCTGCGGTTCATCATTATTCTCAACGGCATCACCGTATTGTTCGAGTATTCCTAATTTTGTTTTCTTCTTCAATTTTGTCCTTTCAACGACATCCTTCACTTCCAATACTTGGAATTTATCACCATCAACAATGCGCTCCAACAACGCTACCAGCTGTGGGCGTATTATGTTTTCATATTTATCTTGTAGCTGCTTAATTAGTTTCTTAAATTGAAGCAATCGCTTTGTAACGGGGTGGTTGCGAACAGCGGAACGTTTAGCTTTCAGCAATAGATAAAAAGTCACGTTAGAACAATAACTTAATGCTATGTTTTGGTAAAGTTCTGCAAATTGTAATGCTGGTATCATGGGCACATTATTTTGACGTACATATTTCAATACAGGTGATATCACCTGTTCCACTTCATTCACATAGCCTTTAAAATCGTTTACAAGCGGCGCAAATTCTGGCGAATCTTCTTGGAACAAACGTAATTTATCTCGCTTGGTTATGCCGGAAAGATCGGCTTTGATTTTGATTGTTTCTTCGGTTTCTGGCTTTTGCGCCTTGCTCTTTGATTTAATAGTATGCAGCAGTGCGTCATCCAGCAGAAAATCTTCCTCCTTCATTTGTTTCGCTAGGCGCATTTGTATTTTCTTGGCCTCCTCTTCTTCTTCCTTAGCCATCTCTTCCTGCTCGGCAGTGTATGTACTATAATCGGGATCCACAAAATCTGTATTATAATAATTCCGGCTCTTTTTGCCCCAATCGGTAGTATCGGGTAAATCATCATCACTTTCGGCGCCTTCTATGTCACTGTCTCGCATTAGGGCGCCCACATCTCCATCATCCACGTCGTCCTCATCGTCACTTTCATCGAATGCCATTAGCTCATTTTCATGGCTGTCATCGTCACGTCTACGCCTTTCGCGAACCTCACGCAACAATTCTTTTTCCTCCTCGCTGTATTCAGCCTCAGAATCGGTGGGCTCGTAATCGTCCGCATCGTCATATTTTTTTTTATCTATATGAATCTTGTCTCCCATTTTTTAACTTGGTCCAGCTCGAAGCTTAGCACTCACGTGTAATACAAAAACATGTAATAATCCAAAAGTCGGGTCTAATTCAGCTGTTTACTTTCCGCTTCTTCTTACACACAATTCATTCACTATAATTTCAATAAAGAGTTGCCAATAAAGAAATTGGGATTGCCTTTTCACTGCCGATTTCCACTTCTGACGCAACGGCTCAAGTAACAGTCTTCTTTCTGCCAATTTTGACTCATATTCTTCGTCAAAATGAAGATGGGTTTCAGCATTGCCAATGCAATGATAAATTGAGTTGTTCGAATGGATGTACGCAAGGCATCCGGATGTACGCCATCACATTTACTCTTCAACTCGTCTATTTCCTCTACAGCCAAACAAATGAATTCCAATGTTTTAAGTAATAAACTGAGTGAATCAAGAGGCTCGATACAACGTGCTTCGCAAAATTTTAGAAATCGTATCTGCTTAGAACCAGAATATACTGCAAGGATACGTTTTTTCAAGAGATTTCCAGCCTTGTTGGATACCCGCAAGAAATTGTCAACTGTCTTGACCATTCCCATGCAGTTCCGAATAGATGAAATATCGCAATAGATGAAATATATGTAATAGTCAGATTTAAATTGTAGTTTGCACAATGAACGTTGAGAGCGTCCGGACACGACTTTCTTACAACAGTGGCACAACCCTTAAATTCTCCGCTCATTTCTCGAGTTCTCTCGTAAAAAAAACTCACTTACATCTTACTTACATGACAGTATATTTTTTTGGCATTTCATTCTTGACATTCTTGAAACGAATATCCACTCCGAGTTTATTCAAAGTCGTAAGCAGCGTTTTTACAATACCTTCGTCTGTTACATCACTTACAGGAATGAAACCGAGGAAGTCTTCACGAATTATGTGTTGCTTTTCAACTTCGTGGACTTACCAAACCACAATCGTAAATGGTTCGATTCCACTTACATCAGTGGTTCATCTATAGTAACTGGGAATCATTTTGTCTCATTAACGCATGTTACTACATAAGTGTTTAGTGACTATTCCGCCTCCAGCCTCGATGATTACATTTTAGATATTGTAGCTCAAATATATTGCAATAGCTCCAGCCGTCTTCAAATGGTTATGCAGAGTGGGATCTCCACTCCCCACGGCAAAACGAAGAAGTTCTCTAAAATTACCGTTGTGGTCCACTAGCATTTCCATGGATCTCTCGGCGTCCTCGGAGTACAAGAATAAGACCGCTCGAATAATGGCAACCAGTTTGCCTGTTTTCTATTTGCAGCCTTTTGCGGCTCTGGTCAATCTCATTCTGACGCCATTTCGTTTATTTTCAAACGTGAGTTTGAAGTTCTGCGCATCTTCTTCTTTATTCTTTGAAATTTTCCAGAACTCTTTTCCACATATTCGCAGCCAGCTGTCACGAGCGTGGTAACATTTTCATGCCTGCCTTTCTTAACGTTCCTTTGTTTATCGTCATTTTGTTTTTTTTTTTGTTTTTCCTTTTTTACATGAACCAAATGCAGTTTATGAAACTTTGCGCAGATTTACGGCTCTATTCTGTATCACAGTTTTTATTACGGAAAATATATATGAAAAAGTTTAAATTTGTCAGTAAAAAATTTTTGTCACCGATACAGAATTGGGCTATTAGGGCGTGTGTGAATCGGTACCAAAGTTCTATGGGGAAATCGGTTGAATAATATTTTTACTATGGTGAGACTGTTTTGCCAATCTGTCGTGTGAAATGAAGTCTTTTTCGACAGCAGTAAATCATTGAAAAAAACCGGAAAAAAACTATCAACACATACAATTTTTTGAAAATCAAAGCGTTTTTTAGTTTTCAAACTCACGCTTTATTATACTAAAATTTCATGGGTTATAAAACTGCATACTCAGAAGTGTTTTACAGATTCATATCAAAAAGTTAGAAAATCTGAAGATTTTTTCTATTTTTTGTTTGTGTCTTTAAAACTGTTTTGTTAAAGCAGGCTATAGCTAACCCGGACAAATATTTTAATCATACATCAACGAAAAAGTTGTAATATGAACATGTTAATGCACAAAAAAAATATGATGTATGTTTTTAACCAGACGCACCTACCGACATGTATATACATATTTCGACCCGCTGAATCCGAATCCCAGGTCCGTTTGACCCGTACACATTAAGTAGATTGCGAAGTTCCGAATTGTTTGCTATTGCAAACCTACTTTTATTATTGCTGTCAGAGAAGAGGTAGGTACTAGATCTCACTCCTTGCAGCAGGTCTATAGCTGAACTTATCCACGATTGGAAAGTTTCGGACGAAACATCGTTCTCGGACCGCCAACACATAAGGTTTTAGACCCCAGGGCGATCTGAGTTGCGGAATTTTACACTCTCGCCCAGAAAAACAAACTGGACACTTTTTAAAAATCTAATAAATGCTAGAGCAGACTCGCTGTTAACTTCGACAAACTCAATCCACGAATTGGAAGTGGCAGCCAGTTCACAAAATAATGTCCTGCTGGAATCCTTCCACGACAACATAGCTCCCGGTTCCTCCTTGATGAAACGTAGGGTTCCCTGGTGGAACGGGGAACTGGATGCAAAGCGCAAACTAGACGGGAAGCTTTTCAACAGGGCAAAAGGATCACATCAGTGGGTCGAGTACAGAGCCGCTCCCCCTGAATACAATGAACTCATTCGACGCTCCAAGAGGGAAACGTGGAGGCAAAAATGCGAGTCAATAGAGACACTGCCCGAGGCATCCCGTCTACATCAAATTATGTCGAAGGAGCCTTCTAATGGGATAGGCCTCTTAAAAAGACACGGACGAGTCCTATCTCTTCTGAATATAGGTTCCCCAGAGTTAGAAGTCTCAGCAGGTCCATCTTTGACAGGGACAAGGTACTTTGGGCGGTAGAGTCCTTTGAATCTTTCAAAGCTGCAGGCGGAAATGGTATATTACCGGCAATAATTCAGAGATGCATTGATGTTATCATCGATGCGCTGGTCTGTTTATTTAGGGCAAGTTATTCATGTATACTTGCGTAAATCCTAATGAGGGCCTTTGCATAAACCCGCGAAAGGCTGTTCTGGTACCGTTTACAAAAAGGCACAACCGAACCAATGGGTTACCCTTGGTGAAACAGTGCTTGAATAATCTGACGAAGTCAAATATCTTGGGGTTACCTTTGATAAGAGACTAAGTTGGAATTCCCATCTAGACAAAACTCTTAGCAAAGCCACCCGAGCCATGTGGACCTGTCAAAGGCTTTTCGGTCGAACATGGGGTCTAAACTCCAAACTAGTAGGGTGGCTATACCGAACTAAAGTCCGTCCGATTGTAACTTATGACTCTATACGTCGTTTCACGTCTAAACAAACTCCAAAGGGTGGATATACTGTCGGTGACAGGAGCAATGAGAACGTGTTCAACCGCTGCCTTAGAGTCGCTCCTAGGCTGGACCCCACTCCACATATTTGTCCAAGCAGCCGCAGCTTCGAGAAAAATACCAGGTCGAGGAATTGGCGAGTTCTCCGACGCTATGCCAAAGGAAGGCCAACATGCCTGGTCAAATAGTTTACCAGAACTAGATCCCAGATATGTACATACACTGGTACACAGACTTATCAAAGATGGAGGGCAGAGCAGCAGCGGGTGTCTTGGGACGTGCCACCAAACTTTTTATTGCAATGGGTACTTGTTCCACGGTCTTTCAGGCCGAGGTACTAGCAATCTCAATCTGTGCCAGAGTGAACCTTGAAAAGGGTTTAAAAGCAACTTTTCTAGCTATATTTTCAAATAGGCAGGCCGTCATCAAGGCTCTTTCTAATAAGGCCGATCACTTCGAAGCTCGTCGATGAGTGCTTTGGCACCATTCAACTGTTGTCAACAAGGAATACGGTATTACTGTGCTGGGTACCAGGACACTGCGGGATTGTGGGTAACGAGGCCGCCGACGAATTGGCAAGAGAAGGCTCATGCTCATCGTCCTACTTGTGGGGCCGGAACCGTTTTGCGGACTCAGTTGGTTCTCCTCGAGGCTTAAAGTAGAATCATGGGTAAACTCAGAACGCAGTAAGTACTGGGGAGAAGTAGGCGGCCATAGACCGGCAGAATTTTTGGTTATCCTTTCACTAGGAAAGATATGCATCTTTTGAACAGAGCCGATATCAAGTTGCTTGTTGGCTATCTGACGGGCCATAATCACCTGCGCTGTCACATGCTCCGGCTTGGTATTTCCGCAGAGACAGATTGCTATCTGTGCCTTGAAGACGAGGAGACATCGGAGTGCATTATGTGTGATTGTCCGTCATTGGCCAGACTAAGCCTGAAATACTTCAGTTCTTCCACATCACTTACAAAAGAAGCAAAGTTTTTGCTAGGTCTGCGCCGACATAAGCGTACAAAAATTCATCATTAACAAGTAATTTTTAGCAAAAAAACAAACCGACTTCAACTCTCATATAAAAAAAAAATATATATATATATATATATCTCATGATCCGCTGATCGGATCTTAACCAGATTAGTATGGGACCACCTCTGAGACACTACCTTTCCGATGCAAAAAGAATTATCGAAATCGGTTGACGTGGTCCAAAGTTATGCGGTAACATACATAAAAAAATAAAAATAAAAAAAAATATTCCGACGAACTGATAACCTCCTCCTTTTTTGGAAGTCGGTTAAAAGATATAAAAATATGTACATACATATGTACATATGTATGTAGTATGCACTTCGATCATAACACACTTTTTAAAAATATTTTAAGTTGCAAAAATTCGTTTGTGCTCGAAAAATGTGTATTTTATAACATCTTTAAAGTAATTCAATTAACTAGTACAAATTTTTCCAAAAAGCTCTGAACATAATTTAATTTTTTTCTACATCAAGACTAAAGAGGAATCTATGTATATGCTTACATACATACATACAGTATCGGTCATATCTATAGCACGCCATTTCAAAGTGATATTGCGTGTCACTTATGTTTATTTATTAATTTCAATTAAAATATAGTTCATTCTCAGACAAACCCGATACAAAACCCAAGCTTAATAATTTGTAGAAAGCTACAAAAAAGTGCAACAAATTTTCACATAAATTTCAAACTTTTTTCTCGGAAGTGTTAGAATTTTTTTGAGTACACAGTTTTTTAGCCCCTTCAATTTTAGTCTAATAATGTGCAAATTTGAAGTGGCTACGAATTACAGTTTATTTTGTAGATTTTTTTTTGTCGCATTGGCTTCCATACAATGAATAAACTCAATTTATTTGTATATGGAAAAAATCCGCAACACCTTTGGCGAAAAAAATTCAACGGTAACTTTTAGCCACTTGAAACTGGCACTAAAATTGAAGGGACTAAAAAACTGTGTACTCAAAAAAATTCTAACACCTCCGAGAAAAAAGTTTGAAATTTAGGTGAAAATTTGTTGGACTTTTTTGTAGTTTTCAACAAATTGTTACACATGGGTTTGTATGGGGTTTGTCTGAGAATGAACTGTATTTTAATTGAAAATTCTTAAAAATAAATGAATAAACATAAGTGGCACACAATATCACTTTGAAATGGCGTGCTATAGATATGACCGATACTGTAAGTACGCGAAGAGTTCAATCAAATGTTCAGTTCAACCTTCAAAATTGCAATAAATATGCGTATTATATATTGCTTTGCTCCAATGCTTTTCATAATTAATGCAACCATATGTACACGTTATACTATACATTCCATACATACTATCGACTACATACATATGTACATATATACATACATACATACTTCCCTTATTAGGTATATGTACGTGTACTGAAAAATCAAAATTTCCAAGCTCGACTGCTAAGCTTTTACCCCGGAAATCAAGGGTCACCGAGTTATCAACGCTGAACACATTATCGCCCCCCCACAATTACCAACGCTCGACCAGCCTTATATTTATTGCTGTAGATCATAGCTCATTTGTCAGTTGACAAAAACAATTGCGTTGTCCCCAGCCAGCAAATGTTGTTATCAGTTATGAAGTCGCGAGCCACCTAGATGGACGGGGCATTTACCGAAGTAGTATACGTGAAATTTTTTGCGCACATTTATGTATGGTAGATATTACGAGTATTTACTATATACATTTGTACAAATGTTTAGTTTATAGGTGCCTAAGTTAAAGCATTCGGGTGCACTATATTTATATCATTTTACGCAATGGTATTATTTGTATATTTTAGGCCATGAGAACAGAAGTGGCCTAACCCAAAAAAATGTCTTTGTGCTTATCTACTTAGAATATTCTCAAATGTGATAAATTTTAAAATAAAGGTCGCTTATTCCTTAATTTGATGGTACGCTATGTAGCCTTGTACCTTAAAATTAAGGAATAAGCGTTTTTTAATTTAAAATGTATAACATTTTAGACTATTTTAAGTAGGTAAGTACAAACAAAAATTTGGCCTATTTTCCAAGTACACAATTTTTATGACCAAAGAAAATATGGAAAATGCAGACGCTATATCATAATCTAAAATTTGTATTTATAGACTTGAATCGTCAAAATATGTAATGTGATCAGAAACGAAACAATAACATTTTGGCGCGTACACTTTTGTAAAGGGACCTAGTGTTTTACGCCGCCTCCCAACGGCAAACAGCTTCTTTCAAGGCAGAGACACACACACTGCGGAGGAGCGACCGCTGTTTAGAAACTGTTTTCCGGTAAGTTTTTTTGGATGTTGCTTTGACGATGGATCGAAAATCGGTAGTACGCAATCTTAACCACACGGCTGCAGCGGCCGCCTCAAATACATAATTTTATAAATTTTAAATTATGAATATTATCGGTTACCAATACGTGGACATTTATATTGAAATATTCAGAAGGCTAAATGGTTTAAATAAGGGCTACGCCAGTTCTGCCTTCTCGGGATTAGATAGAACGGGGACAAAACGAAGTAGCTCCTGCTATCACACAAACATTTAGAGCATAGGCATCTGGACACCACAACACTGTCGACTTCGTGTTTATTTGGGAACCAGCGGGCCAATTATCGTTTAAGCTAGAAGTCTCGACTACTATCACGAAAAATACCATCCCTGCACCTTGACTTGATGGTCACTTATAGCCATTTATTGAACAGCAAAACCTGATTTTGGTGAACATAAGGTGATCCCTTAAAATACCAACCCTGAACCTTAACCCTAAGGTCACTTATAGTTGATGTAATGTGGAACGATTTTCCGTCATCCCTTGCCAAATTTAGTTTGGAGACAAACCGGTTTTGGCGTTGTGCCATCTTCAGATCATTTTTCATTCTGAATAGTTTTTGTTTGTCCGTCACTATTTATAGCCGTGCTAAATCGTCGTCGGTTCTTAGTCTCAGCGGACTATATTCTTTCGTTCAACCAGTGGTTTTTGTTCTGTGCATACATCCTCACGGTAGAAATCAGCTGCTCACTTCTTCTTGATTAATTGTTGCATGGATTCGTAGGTAGGTAAAAATCAGTTATTTTCTTTCTCTTTGTTTTCGTAGTATGGGCTTGCGTTTCATTGTTTATGGGCGTCGTAGGGCTACTGCCCTGTTTTGCGTATAGTAGGCTGAGTGGTTCGCATATGATATATTATCAGATGCGGTGTTTATTTGTTCATGTATTATTTTTCCGATGAACGTCTTTCGTTTGTATATCTCCATTTTCTCTAATACGTTTAGGCGTTGTCCTTTGTGCTGTACATGGAGAAATTTGACTGGCTTTTCCATTTTCATTGGCGTACAATGGTTTTCTGCCATATGGTTTGCGAAGTTCGATTCCGGTGTGATATATGGTTTTAGCATTTTTTCGCTGTAGTCCCTTATATGTATCCTCCCCACGTTGTCCTTCGTTCTAAATGCTGTATTGATGTTATATTTTTGGAATACTTTAGCCAATTTATATGTTGTGCCCGTATAAATTAAGACTGCCCGAGCCTTTTCATTATTTTCCTTCTTATTTGATTTCTTCGTTCTTGTTGCTCTTCTTATCGTGTTTACTAGGCCCTTTCTGTATCCGTTATTTTCCGCGATTGCGTATATCGTATTTAGTTCTTTGCTGTAAGCTTCTTTTTCCAATGGGGTTCGTTCAAGCCTGGTTATTAGATGTCTGTGCTGTTGAGGGTGGTTTGAAGTATTGTGTATTATCGTGTCTGTGACCGTGGAGTTTCTATATATCCCGAATTCGCTTTTGTTGGTAACCTTATTGATTTTCATTGTTATGTCCAAATAGTTTATTTTTCCTTCGTTTTCCTTATCTATAGTGAAATTTATATTCGTGTGTTCGTCATTGCAAGACATATGATGTCATCGACGTATCTTGCGTAGAACTTTACTTCCAGGTTTGTTGTCAGCTCTGTCACATACTTTTCCTCTAAATGTTGCATGAACTCTTCCATTCAAATTGCGGATGTGGGATTACCCATTCCTAGCCCGTTAGTTTGTCTATATATTTTGTTATTAAACTTGAAGTAGTTTTGGTCTAGTGATACCCTAAATGTGTTCATGATTGGTATCGATGGGTAAAGATCCTTAACATCAAATGATACAAATTTCGCATCTTTAGGTATGTCTAGCGATTTCACTTATAGTTATTTATTTAACAACAGCAAAATCTGATTTTGACAATTATTATTTTTTCAATAGCACAGTACTCTAGTATTTTTATATGTATTGCTCAATAAACGACTATTAGTGACCATCAAGTCAGTCAGTGAGTTTTTCGGAAGAGAAGTGTACACAATTTTGACAGTTAAAACTCATTCTCACACTTCCTGAATCGGAAAATGAAGAGTGCACACAATTTTCAGTGTAGGTACACGTGAAAACTTACAGTTACTGAACCCAGCCCCAGGTGGAGAAGGATTTGCCTTCACTTGGCATTTTCAATTGGCGTCAGTTGGCACAGAGGAGAAATGACTGGCGTGCTGTTTTTGGACTCGGCTAAAATCGCTGAGGCACAGCATACGCCGCCCCTTTGAAAATCAGAACAAAACAAAAGTACAACAAACACATCATTTTGGCAATCAGTACAATTCGCCTTGGAATCGGCTGCTCTGGAATCACCTTTTAATTAATTCACCTTGGCCAAAAATGTGAACCACCCTTCTGAAACTCAAGCAACTGCCCCTGGCATATAAATGTACATCTGTATATGGAGTATATAACATATAGGTCGCACGACTGCAGGTTTTTACCGTTCCGTTCGAATTCGGCAATCTCATGATCTGCCTATAAAATTGTATAAGTGAATTTAATTGGCAAATAATATCAGCAAGTAAAATTCAAACAATTCTGGAAAAATTTATATACATAAAAACCGTCATCTAAGCGATAACAGTACAGTACCAGATGCCCATAAAAGTTAATCTTCAATATAAATTTTTGAGCGGGGTCAGGGTTTCATGAAATATTTTTATATGAGTAAAAAAAATTCCATTTGGCGTTGATTTTAAGTTTTAGGCAGAAAGAGCAGCCGCTTTAAGAAACAAACATAATGGAATTACAGCATACAGCGACATATTTTTTCTAAAATTTTGTAAAATTTATATTTGTATTTTTAAATTTAAATGTAGATGAGTTTTTCACTTAGTATCTAGTGACTAGGAAGGTATGCACAAAAAAAAAATTCAATTCATCACATCTAAGGCTCCGATAAGATTAGATTAGATTGAATATAGACGAAACTGAAGTGATTCACGTTACAGATAACAATATACGAGGATAGATAAGCAATTCCTTAGTAGTATGCATACTTAACTATTTTTTCGCTACAATACATGCATACGTATGCAGTAAAAAATTCGTCGTAAACCAATCGGCTATGCAAATGTAAAAACTTGAATAAAACTAATGAAAACAATAGGTAAAAAAAACATGGCCGAATCTCATTGGTGAGAAGTGATGGGCTCGTCTTGTTCAGATGCAAATATGTATGTATGTATATAATAATGCATGTATGAGTGGCTGTAATCTACGTATGTATGTATATACATATATAAGAATATATGTACACGTGTATATGTTTATACAATATATTAAGTAGGCGTGAGATAGCGTCTGAACGATACAGTCGAAGAAGCAACGGGTGAGGAGTATGCCAACTTCGTCTGTTAATCAACAAGAAAACACCCATATGCATACATATACATACATATATGTACATACATCAATATATCGCACATCAATACTATTTACCTCGTCATGGTCAGCTGATGAGTGTATGTATATATGTATGTATTAAGCTGCTACATACGTAGTGCTTTTTAATTGACTTTAGATATGGAGGGTTATCAACTCGACAATTGGGTGTGGCATATATTAAAATAAATATTTAAATCCTCATTTATTTAGTTAAACTCAATTCATTTTAATCATAATAGTGCCATTCGCAAGAAGAAAGGAGAACCAGCAACATTAGTGGCACATAATGGTAAGAGGGTGAGTGCAATTTTAAAGTAGTTTATGACTCTGTATACTTACCTAGGATGCAGCATAAAATAACAGCAATAATGACAGCCTGGAGATCAAGCGAAGACGAATTTTTTCCAACAGGACCTATTTTGTGCTAGGTAAACAATTAAAAATTGAGGCCCATTCCCGGCAAAAGAGACATCCACAATCTCGAACAATAACACGGTGCTACAAAAAAAAAGTTGTATTTACTTTTTTGTCATTCAGTTGAGGTGGTAGAGCAGGTCTAGTAGTATAAGAGTATCAGAATTCGCTGAAAACTGTACAATTTATGACCGGTGCACAGTGTGATATTTCAACAATTTAGGTGAACAAAATTATATGTGGATATTTTTGGGGTATATTTAGGATGCTGATTTTCCATATAGATACTATCCGCTTTCTCAGTTTGGTCGTTGCTTGCGAATTTTCGGTTGCTGAAATTTGGTAAGCTATGTTTTCCATCAGCATATGCAAACTTTATGAAAACTAACATGGAAGCTTTGAACTCGCAGAAATAGGAAAAAAGTGCAATATACCTTTGTTTACGTCCACTAAGGAAGAATTATTGAAGTTTCTTATGTTTTACAGTCATTTTGTGATATTTCGACAATCTATGTGGAAAAAATCATTTCATTACGTTTTTAGTAATTAAATAGACGAATTATAAGACAATACTTTTTTTAATGTACGTAGAGATTTTTTATAAAAACAACTGAATTTTAAAATATGCTAAATTAGGGGACAATCTGTTCATATTTTGACAATTTAAATGAGCAAAATTATTTTTCTAGATGTTCGGTAAACATATTACGAAAAAGTTATAAAAAAATAAGAAAAAGTACTTATTTATATTGGAACGAATTTCCGTCATCCCTTGTATTGCGAATAGAAGAAATTTAAACTTTAACAGAGAACAAATCTTAAAATAAAGGATTTTTTGTAAATTCTTTTGATTTTTTTAAAGCCTGTTCTTTTACAAAAACATCAAGCTATCAACGAAGAAAATTGATTGATAATAAAGGTATAAACACTTAAGTAACAAGTAATTTTTAGCAAAAAAAAAACCGACTTCAACTCCCATATAAAAAAAAATATATATATATATATCTCATGATCCACTGATCGGATCTCAACCAGATTAGTATGATACCACCTCTGAGACACTACCTTTCCGATGCAAAAAGAATTATCGAAATCGGTTGACGTGGTCCAAAGTTATGCGGTAACATACATAAAAAAAAAAAAAATATTCCGACGAACTGATAACCTCCTCCTTTTTTGGAAGTCGGTTAAAAATAACTTCTTCCAAATGTTTCCATCCAGATTTATGATTTCATTAATAGTTCATACATGGTGTATGCGTAACATTTTTTCCTAGTAATGTTTCATAAAAAAGAAATTATTATGCATTTTTATTTCACTTCAAAAAAGGAGGAGGTTATCAGTTCGTCGGATTTTTTTTATTGNTTTTTTTATTGTTTTTTTTTTTTATGTATTTTACCGCATAACTTTGGACCACGTCAACCGATTTCGACAATTCTTTTTGGATCGGAGAGGTAGTGTCTGAGAGGTGGTCCCATACTAATCTGGTTTAGAGCCCATCATTGGATCATGAAATATATATATATATATATTTTTTTTTTAAGTCTGTTTTTTTTTTTGCTAAAAATTACTTGTCATTTGACCATTTACAACTTTATTTACCAATAAATTTTCTTCCTTGATAACTTAATGTTTTTGTAAAAGAACTGGCTTTAACACAAATCAAAAGAATTTACAAAAAAAAACATATTTTAAAATTGTTTCCGTTAATGTTTGCATTTTTTCATTCACAATACAAACATAAAATGAAAATATCTTGCGAAAATGACTTGAACGGTATACGGGGCCGTAATCTACGACCCAAAATTAAGTTTACGTGTTTCTGCGTTTTTTTTTTTTTGTGACATTTCAAAATTCGACATTTTCCTTACAGTGTATTTAGTCACGGATCACGTGGATGCCTCAAAAAACCGCGCGGATAAGAATTGAAATACACAAGAAGCAAATTAAATTGCAATAAGAATTCTTTAGATTTTTTTTTATGAAGTGTTTTATCGCTAAAATGTCAACCGTTTACTTGTTATTTAGTTTTGTGTTCATTTTCGTAATAGTGACTTAGTTTTGTCTCATATATGTAAAAATAAAAGAATTCAAGGCATACATTTTTAATACTTTTGTCCACCTATTTTGTTCAAATATCGCACTTTGCGCTGTTTTGACCCAACATCCCGATTTTCAGTTTTTTGATCATAAGATACGATTTTTGGGGGAGTATTTTGAATTCTGATAGTTTCAAAACTCTTTTTTAGACCCGTTTTATCATTTTATAGAATATCTCTAAAACTATTTTTTTTTCAGTAAACATTTTTTTGCTTGGGAACTTTTTGTTCCAAATTTTTTCCAAAACGTTATTTTTTAATTTTTTTTTACCATTCCTTATCCTCAAAGGTACATTGGATTTAAGAAAAAAATTATATACCTAACGTACAAATCCGTAAAATTATGTATCGATTTTGGTGTTGTAATGTTATCTATCTATATACATATAAATACGCCACAGGAAAAAATATACCGATTTAAAGGATATAACTTCCTCTAAATGTTAATCCCGATACATAGGCCCCCTATGGAATCTGACATATAGACTAAAATGTGAAAACCGTTATATCTCTAAAACTAAGCTGGGGAACTGAACTTAGCAAAGATGCACAGATTGTAAATACCCTACTTATGGTGAAAAATGGTAGGTACTGGGAAAGTGGGCGTGGCACTTCCCATTCAAACTGAAATTCTCTGGAACCACCTATGCTAACGTCCTGAAATTGGACATAGCAACATATGTTGTCAATACCGTACTTATAGCAAAGAGTGGTCGATTTTGGAAAAGAGGGCGTGGCACCGCCCACCACTTATTATAAGGTAATGGAATTTTATACACCTACATTTATACACATATAAAATGGCATTGAATGATTGTTGTATTGTGCAAAGTTTTTAGAAGGATCAGTGTGTTTGTCTTCCGATAGGTGGCGCAGAAATTGAGAGTTAGCCTAAAAAATCATATTTATGATTAGATTTATTTCACTTTTAGAACACATATTAGTAACATAAAATTTGGTGTAACTTAGTAGCCCAGTCATGTGATGAAAAAATATAGTCATTCGCATAAAGGAGTTAGTATTGGTGACAAGTAAAATTCAAAAGTGTACGAAAAAAGATGCCGCATTTCGACAACTGGGCGATACTAGTTTTAAAGAATAGGGGACTTTCTCCACACAATTTTTTTCTCTTGCAAAACTATATATCTACATTCGTAGCTACAGTCATGTGAAAAATAATTTGTTTGTTTAATATTTATTTTTGTTTTTTTTTTTATAAAAATACCAAAACATACTTTTTATTAAGAATGAGTACGTGGTTATATAGCCCATTAAATTCTAGCAACTTAAGAAAGTGAAATTTTCAATTGATTTTTGAATTTTTTTTTGCGGACGGCGTTATTATTTATATAAAAAAAAAACTTGTTGAACATACTTTGTATGGAAGAAAATACAAAACACCGTCAGCTAATGAGCTGTATTTTTATAAAAATAATAAAAATTGAACAAACAAAAGAAAAATAGGCAAATCCGGTCAAAATGTCGCGTGTCGCTATTATTTTTCGCATGACTATATGTATATGTACATATGTATGTAGGTGGCCGGATGGGAGTATACATAAGGCAAGCGAAATATTAAAAAAAAAAATAATAATAATATAAAATACTTAAGTCTGGCGACGTAAATGTGAACGTTCATACATACATACATGGATACTATGCATGGATGTGTAAACATTTGCCTTATTTTGTAGTCGAAATTGTTTTATAAATTTTTCTTTTGCCATCCTACTTTTTCAGATTCATCTCGTTTTCGAACCTACTCATCTTTTTTCTCCTCGCATTTTTTTATAGCAGTCACATGAATATATTAAGAATATGTTTACTTAAGTACGTACAAATATGTATGTATATATGTATATATGTATGTATGTATAAATATTTATAAATATACATATACATATATAAATGACTTAAATATACTACATTGATGTATTTACATACGTACTATACATACATATACGGAGAGCGTACGCAGGTTGATATGTACCAGAATATTATCAGTACCAGCCCGCTAATGAAAACATAATGTTCTTGTATACTTATTTCTTATTTATTTTTTGGAACATTTTATTATTTTGTGTTTCATTCCAATTTTCGAATATAAACAGCGCGTCAACAAATTTCTTAAATCACTTGGTGCAAGGCATTATTTAGAAAAAGACATACAGCAGTTCAGCAATAAAGTAATTTTACTATATGAAAAATAATATAGTATAAGCAGATTTCGTTGTAGTGCCCAGTCCAAGTGATAATTTGTTTTAAAAGTTATTTGAAATACATATCAATAGCGGACTATATAGAAATCAGACTCGTCTGTACTTAAATTGTGATAGCACCATATTTATAATAAATATATTTGCCATTTGTTCAACATTTGGATCGACGAAAAGAAAAACATTTTAATTATTACTAGCTACTGGAAGAGTCATTTAATTAAGCTATTTTGCATTTAATTGAATTGAGACTACAAAAACAAAAAATACTATAAATATTTACATATAGAGAAATATTCATACATACACACATACATATGTACATACTACATATATAAAAGTGAATATTGATTGGTAATCTTGAAGATTGCGTGGAAATAAGCAGAAATTATTCGCTTGTGTACATTTTGTCAGCGGCAGAAATTGATTTATTAAGTTCCATACGCATTGATGATTCCACTCAGTTGATTTGCAACTGCGAGCGCATTACGTAGACAAATAAAAGCAGCTGCAACAAAGTGTTCAAACCTAAACAGTTATCATACACGCAGTTCCGAAGTTCCTGTACAAATTGAAAAGTAAGTACGTTTACATATTTCCTACTTATTATTCATTAATCGCATACAAAAAGCCTCTCGCGACATTTTTTTGTTACCAAAAGCCCAATGAAACTCGTGTAATTTATATGTCTCATTTTTTTATGCAAAAGCCAATATATATTGCCTCTTAGTATGAATGCACTCTCAGTAGGTTAATACTTTGCTTATGTAACAGTGTTGGGTGTCCAGATCTGCGTTGACAGATATTTGATAAAATATACCAACGAGAAAAAATTTATAAATCAGCTTGGGATAGATTGTTTATATGTATATATTTACCACTTTTTAGTCAAATCATTACAATTAAGAAAATAACTTGGCGAATTGAGTGAAAACTCGAATTTGCAATTGCCAGCTCGCTCTCCTTCACCTTTGTCATTAAATATCAAATGAAATTTCGAACTTCTCATACAAATACAATCGCCGTTCGAAGTCGGCGAAGAACTGTAGGTCCCTCCGCTTTGTGTGACAACATCAAGGAGAAGCTCGGCCAAACACTAACATATGTGTATTATAATTATGTATTATTGAACTCACGGTCTCATATCTACCGAATTGGGAAAACTTAACTCCGCCGCAATATAGCCCAAAAATTGCCCTTTGTGACTACCAGTTGTTTCGATCAAAGCAAAACGTCTTGCCCGAAATACGCTCCATTTTAGTTGAAGATATCGAAAACTGAGCCATTACGATCTTAGCTTCAAAACATGAGCGGTTTTATTGGGACGGAATTCACTAGCGCTTTCATACATTCGAAATTTTTTTAGCTTCTGAAGGAAAATACTTTACAAAAAAATAGTTAAATTTTTTTTTAAAGAAAGCTAGGAAAAATACCTGTCAAAATTTACTTGCACATCCAACAATAATTTTTAAATTACTAAGAGCCGGAGATAATGGAATTTTTTACCAAATACATAATGCTTCTTAAATCTTATTTCGACGATGCCACATTCTACAGTGTAATTTTTTGTTGTGACAAAATTTGACCAACAGAGACAGAAGATTAAAAACGTTTTCATAAATTATTATAAGTGGAAGATAATTATATTTTTTTCAAAACAAGGCTTTTAAGTAGCTTTTGGGTTTCACACCAAGCTGGTACGGGCTAACTTTTTATTATATTATATTATTTGCTCACCGAAGAAAAGTAATCTTTAACCACAATCCAACTAACCAGGAAGGTGAGAGAGATAACAACCTAAACTTTTCCATTTAGACTGCAGAAATCTTATAATTCATGAGAATTGCGATTTATTGTTGATTTGAAAAAAAAACCTAAAAAAGAAATCTAAGGACACAATGTTATCAATTTGAAATAAAAAAAGAAATGGTTGTGGTGTGGTACATACGTATGTACATATGTAAATATTTTTTTTCTAAGAGCGATAACCTCTTGACAGACATTAACTATCAAAGAGAGATGCTCTGCTTAAACCTCTCAACTGTACATGATATATCAGTACATTTATTTAGCTGCTTTTCAACAAGGAATCATCTGCCTGTCGAGTAAGTTAGTTTTGAAACTCATTTATTGTCACAAAAAAAAAAAAGACAGCCAAAAGAGCCGATACGCAATTACTACTCTCTGTGTGCCTTAAAAAACATCAACATCCGCGTATTTTATTAATTGCGTACATACAGCGTAGAACTAGACCTTTTGCCGACGGTACTAGTTCTACTTTGCTCAATACCCAAGCAATGCTTTCAACTGTCCAGTTTTTCACGGCGATATTATTGGTGGTGGCAATTGTCGCCCAGTGCATTACTTTGGAACTAGTTTCTAACCGGTTCCGTTTTGGATATTTTTTTCGTTTTTTCTTATCTTTTACAGATTCCATTTTTGTTACATATTTTATTAAAAAAAAAAAATTATTATAAGCTGCGCGCAACAATTTAAATTCATTAAATATGAAAACTCACAAGCAGCCTTCACCGCGATTTGAACTCGCGAACAGCGATACTTGAGTCGGAGGTCTCTCGACTCTATGTAGTTCGGAACAAGCGCTTTCTCAGACTGTCTCTAAATTTTACTGCAGGGCATGTATGTAAAAGTATACTTTTGACTACACTACATATTAATACAGTGAACATTTTAATTCTTACCCTCACGGATAGAGTGTTTATACACACACAGCTATGGATTATGAAAACAAAACTGGTCGCTTAAAGGTCAGGTTAAAAGAATGTACGTATTTCTTTTTTGCATATTTTCCAAGCCTTTAATATAGTGGGCATACATATGTAGGTATGTACACGTGTTAATATTTACGTAAAAAACTTGGATAAAGGTATTGGAGATACCTTTTGGAAAGAAGAATTGATAAGAATCGTTTTGGTTTTTTTTTTCATGCCAGCAAGTATGGCGTACAAGTAAGTTTTAAAAGATTTTTGCTCGATTTTGAAACTTTTATTGTTCGCAAATGGCACAATGTATTTTATTTATTTATTAGCTAAGCCATTTTCCCAGTCAAACTGCTCGTCTTTGGAACTCAAGGAATGGTACTACCATAAGGACGTTCTGCGTTGACCGGAACAAACGGTATTCTAATGGTGCAAGGACTAGGCTATAACCGGTTGGGTAATAATTTCCCATCCGGTGCCATCGATATAAGTTTTACCACTGTGCGACATGCGGTCGGGCATTGTCATGTTGGAAGATCAAGGACTCATATCCGGTTACCCATTCCGACCATTTTTCCGCAATCGCTCGCTTCAATTGCATCAGTTGTTGTCTATAGAGAGCCACGTCGGTCGTCTGACTACTTTTCAGCTACTCAAGCTCATGATACAAAATTCCCTTTTGGTCTCCCCAAATGCGGATTTTGGGCATACATACACACGCCTTCCGGCGCTTTGGATTATCGAAAATTTCTCATATTGCCGCAAATTCTTCTTGGCTTTGGCATGGGCCTTTGTCCAAAATTGTCTTCAATTCGGCGCGTACAACGCTTATTGCCTTCCGTGGAAGGAAAATACCAATGCTTCCGGCGAATGGAGTTTTTTAGGCATAAAAGCTGACATAGTCGTCACAAGAAAAATATGTGCTTTTCATTTTTTGATGCAATGACACATACTGTAAAATGTGGTTAAATGATGACGCTTTCACATGAAATAGGCTGCAACATTGTCCGGTATGCTTAAACACTACTGGTGCCCTCTGTTGACATTCTTTTTAAAATTAGCTTAAAATTTCTAGTACTTCCAAGGCTGGATTGAATGATACTAATAGGGGTTCCTATGAGACAGTGTATAAAACCATCTCATGTCTTCAAGTTGGGACTAACACAGAGTGACGAATGTAAGGCATGCATAAGTAAACAAATAAATAAATAAATAAACAACAACAACAACATTAGAGTAACTACAATAGCACACTAGAAAATATCCTATTTCACTGTCTAGCTTTCGAAAAATCGCGACTGCATTATAACTAAGGTTCAGCCATTTTCGTACAGTTTCTTGGTAAAACTAAGGACCAACCAACGGGTTATTTAAGGACCAACCAATAGTTTTTTGAGATCGTACGAATCAGTGAAACTAACCTAAAATAATCTAAACTTCAATTTAAGGGGCTTTTAAATGGCACATATTTTTATCATTCAGTGCCTAGTGGAAATTCAGTACACTTTTTTGAACGTCACGTGAGTGAGATTCTACGCAAATTTGCATCTTGACTTTTCTATAATCTTCTTTTTAATTGACTACATTAACCAGATGGCCTTCTGCTCCATTTTTATGTCAGACAAGTATCAAAAACTGCAGGCTAATTAATCAGATATACATATACATATGTATGTATATTTGCCCAGTGTGGTCAAAATATTTTTTTGCATTTATGTTTTAATCCGGCATGACTGCGCGCAAATTTCGCTTTCGATCTAGACAATACATATGTAATTAAAAAAAAAAAACAATACAAAATTGAGAGTTGATTTAAATATCGGTGTTTTTGTAAGAAAAATTTCTAAATTCATACATCCATGTGTGCATAGGAATATATGTACTTGCTTACATACTTATACTCAGCGATTAAACCAGTTGAACAGATATATATGCAAATTGCAAAGGACCGTAGTATAAATTTCATTAGCAATGCAAAGTATTAAAAAGAAAATAGATACATACATTTCACGACAAAATACCGGTTCAACCAAAATATATGTATGTGACAAATAGAAGCTAAAATCATTTGCTAAAAAAATAGCAAACTCGAAAATGCTATTTTAGTGTCAACCATTCGGTTACGAACTCATTTGCGTCAATTTGTGCGCTAAGCATTTAAAAAATGTTCATCAGTGCAGATGCTCTAAGCACTTGACATACAAAAAAATATGTATATTTTAAACGAACATTTTATGTATGTATGTATGTATGCATGATTCTACAAGTATATGCAGATGTATTGTTTTTTAAATCTTCTACGG